CTGCTTTCTTCGTCACCACTCTCATCTTCAGCGCTGCCCTCAGAGCCCCCTGATCCACCTGCTGATGCTGCTGCTGCTGCTGCCTGCAGGAGAAGGAACAGAGTGAGTCAAACCACCTGACTCACTGCATACAACGAAGCGGGAACCACATAAAAGATGCATTAGGTTTATTAATTAGTATTTAATATTTCAAGGCTGGTTTAGGTCTTGGTGAATTGATGATTTTACATGAGAAAATTTTTAGGTACGTTTCACAAATTAGCTGTTTTTTTTTTTTTATTTGAGGACTTTATTACCCAATGAGGTAGATGTCCGCTGCTCACTGTTATTTATGTGTATGAACTTGTGACTTTTTGTTTTGAAAGTCTTGAAACGTCCAGTCTTGGATGAGTCTACTTCTACTACCAGTCTACTACTGGTTTATTTTCTAATGAGATTGAGCAATGGAGACCTTTCACCAGCTGATGGTGCTGACAGATCCATCTCCTGAGCACAACAGTCCTGGAGGATAAGACAGGGTTTCAGCTCTGGAGCTCTTCCAGTGATCATCATGGCAAATGTGAGCTCACAGTTAGTGTAGTTTGATGTGTATCCTGGAGTGCTGCAGCAAGATATTGACACACTCACATTTTCCAGACCCCACTGTGACCGTACATGGTTTCAGTACTTTTGGGCGACAGAGACATTACTCTGAGTGGTAACAAGAAGTGTGAAGGGACTGCACCAGTTACAGCAGCATAATCCTGGACATGTTACAGAGAAGGAACATTTCTGTGGCCTGAATTGTGTATTTGAAATATCTCTATATTGTCAGAGCTTTACTTATTAAGCCCCCCTTATTATCTTAGCTCTTCACTTTTTTCTTCTATTTAAATTAGCTCTATTTTTATTTTGCGTCTTTTCTTTTTACCTTTGTGAGCTATTTTGCTTTGTGATATTGTATTTACTTCATTGAGCAAGGTTCTTTTAGTTTGTAGTGTTAGTTTGCTTATAACACAGTAATTTCCCAACTTTTAGGATAGATTAAGTATATCTTACTTTGTTATTTGTTAATATCTTACTATAATACTTTGTTAATATTCTGCAACATTACTGCCACTCCTTTTTAATTTTTTTATGCGTACATGAACGATAAATTAACAAAAAGTATAAGCTAGTGTGCTTGTGTTAGGCCCTCCATCATTCTTCAACGCTGCATGTTATCCAACCTCCTCACGGCCTTGTTCACAACTTCTGGCTTTGGCGATGTGGTTTTCAAAAAGTGCTGGCAGCTCATATTAACAGGCCTCCATGCAAAGTGTGATCTGAGGTCAGTATGCCAGAAAACTGAGGTGACACTAAACTGACAGAAAGCAACTTGTGTGGGTGTTAACGGTTACCTTCATTTCTCAATTGATGTGTTTGTTAAAGATTATACATTCTTGTCATTTTCAAGCTTTATTTTGAACTGTACCACATAAACAAAATGTAATATGTTAGGAAAGAAGAACACATACCAGAAACAAATATGAAGCAAGCCAAAACCTCTTAAATTAGTTTGAAAATGTGCAGGTTGAAGCCAACGCTCTTACTATCTTTCCTTCAATTTTACTAATACACCATGTACTTAAGTATATTCCTTGGGTGCATTTTCAAAATACATTATGCCAGGAATAATTAGAGGCCAATTTAAAATCTGAAGATTCAAAATCAAGTAAGAAACATAGTTAAAGTCATAGCTTTCTGTCTCCAGGTCTGTTGAAAAGATAAGAAGCAGAAATATGAATTTGAAGCTAATCTATTCAAATCTAGGGAGACAGTAATGCCATCTTCACATGCTCATCACGCCTGTTATTTCCCAGGCTTCACATTGTAATTAACATCTGACTGCATTCCAGTGCTTCGCAATTCCAAACATGGAGGGTACAGATGCTGCTAGGTCTTCATCAGTTTCCTTGACAACTTGTCATGTTGCCAAAAGAAACTAGTTAACAGCTAAAGAAACACGTGTGTTCATATTAAGATGGGACGTGTATTATCACGACTTTTAAAACTATAGGATCAAAGTTGTTAAAATCTCCACTTTCACTCACTCACTTCTGTAGCAAACTGCACAGTGAGCTGAAATCATCTCGTACCTTCGATTCATCCGGCCGGTCAGATGTTTCCTGAGTTGTCTCTTCTGCCTTTGGAGGCTGTGAGGTGGACGGCTCAGCAGTAGCTGCTCCCTCTGGTGCACCGGCAGCAGCTGGCTGCTCAGACTTTGGCTTTTGATCTGGATCTTAAAAAAGAAGAAAACCACACAGAGTAATATGGATAAAAATATGAATTTTAACCTGCTTTTCAAACACTGCAGATTTTAAATAACCCATAACCATTTTAGATAAAACAGTTTCACTGCATCTTTTTACAAACAGGACACATCAACCTCACTTAAATGTTTAGTGACTTTATGCTTTTACTTTTACCTATTCACTTTCTTCTTTGTCTACCTGCCACTGTGACTTTTCCTTTGATTTTATTTTGAAAGGGCAAAGATGTCTTTTAGTTTGTTCTTTGCATGCAGCAGTGTTTCCCCATATCTAACTGAACACAACTGAACAGAGTCACTTTTGGATGATGTAATAACCCTGCTGGTTTGTGTTATGGTCACCATTTTAAATCCATCACTTCAGACTGATGACTCCTCACCTTATATCAGCTAAAGTACTTTGCAGTTAGGTGATTAAAAGTTCAGATGAATTTGAATTTCCAAGCAAGTTTGCTGTAGTAAAGAATTTGGAAAACTTCCGCTCACACTTATTTTTAAACGTATCTAAATATTAGAGAACTGCAGCTAATTTCACACTTAGTGAAGATAAATCACAAATTTAATGTTACACTGACAAATTATTCTGCTCTAGAGGCCAGTATGAAGTGGCAGTGGGAGTGATTGGAGTGTCTGGCAATAAACATGCTCTACTAAAGGCGGG